AGCCTATAAGGAATGTTTAGCCCTCAAATCCCAGCTGAATAATATTTGTTTAGCACTTGGAATGGAAGCAGCTTGACAAACAGACATTTCCCTGCAGAACATTTGTGCCGCTGTGTGACTACAGGCACCCCCATCCCGGAGCTAGTCACGTTTCCAAGCGGGTGTTAGTTTTGCCTGGTGATGACAAGCCATGCCAGCAATGACAATAGTTCATGAGGTACCCATTTATTTTGCCTCTCTTGCTGGTGATAAAGAATGAGAAAATCTTTTGAATGTGGATGGAGGGAAGAAGAGGCAAGGGGCAAACTAGGTAAGTGTTACATCAACACTGCTACAAGTCACTTAGGTTACAGTGAAGTAGTAATTTTTGTAACTTTCTCCGAATTTGAACATTGTACTTAGTAACTCCAAATAACATTTAAATGCTTATTCTTAAGCTTTTGTCATTCTGTTATTTCCAGATACGCACTTTTCTGTTTGATTTGATGTATTGCTGTATCTTTCATAAAGGCTGCATTTGTCAGTCCACAGGTTAAGAGCAGGACAGGCGACTGCCAAGCCAGTTTCTCATGCTCCCTGTTTTTATGGCATTTCCATATTTATGAGTATCCCATCTCTAGTAGTAAAAGAGTGACTCCTGTCTGTGTGTTCAATAGGTTCTGGTCTCTGCAATGCAAGCTGCCAGTTGTATTACTGCAGACAGATATTTTGGAGGTCATAATCAGTCTTTTCCAAAGTAGATAAAAATGTCATTTCAGTTTAATGAATAACTGATGATAGGAGCTTTACTACTAACCAGTCACTTTTACACTAGGAACCTAGGACTATTTTTATTTATACATATCCTATTCTGTTATGTGTCTACGGAAGATAGTATGCAGTATATTCTCTAGAGTAGCCAAAGATTTGTTATCTAGGGGTAGCCAAAGGAATTACATCACTTCAAACATGAATCAAGTGCCAGACTGTGAAGAATAATTAAGGAAAAACAGAGTGATTGATAAAAATCTCTTTCTTTTTGCTGTCACTTCTTTTATCTTTCTTTCCTCATCTTTTTCTCATCCTTTTGTTTCTCCTTTCTACCATGTGTATTTTTGTTTGCATTCTGGTAACATGTAAAGGCCTGGTCGGAGGCTTCATTGTGGTAGATGGTGTATAAAATGGAAGGTAAATCCACATCTTGTTAGAGACAATAGGATTAACCCTAATGTGGCGAAGATTTCAGGGAACATGCCAAGGCATGGTGCCTGTCCTAAAATTCTTGTCATTATAAAAGTTGAGAACCTCAGATAAGGACACGAATAAATAAATAAACAATGTAACAATTGTTACTGCATGTTTCTTAACATTAAATTAGCGTGAAAATGTTTATCTTTCCTGTTGATGATCAGGTTCTTTTCTCTTTCTAAAGAACAGGGATTCTTTTTCCCCTGCAGTGTCATTAGAGAACAATCAGTCTCTTTTGGAACAACAGTGTTGTTTGAAATTACTTTAAAGAAGCTGTAACATTGTTAGATTCATTATGTGGTGTTCTTTGACTCAGTCTTGTTCCTAGAGTCTAGCCTGGATTCCGCCTTTCACCTAGGAGCTGCCTGCCATATATCCACAAACAGTGATTGTTCTCCTCTAATCTGCTTTTAATTTTAAATCATCAAAGTCATGACAAGTTGAGCAAATGCAAAGCATCTAGGAAGTGAGGCAGCCCACACCTTCAGAAGCCCGAAGTGTCGCTTTGAGGACAGCCCCAGCCTTTAGGCCGAAGCGTAGACTTCTTTGCCAGCTAAGTCATCAGGGCAGCCAAACTACTGTTTTCAGAGTAGTTTTTAACTCTGACAAAGCTCTTAATTCTGAAAATCAAAACCTCCTCCTGTGACTGTATGAATAACTAGGAGATAGAGAGACAATCACCAGCTTCCTCCTCTCTTCTTACCCTTCAATAGTAGAACGTTTTTATTTTATCTATTGGTTTTGGTTTATTAATTATTGGACTTTCCTGAAAATATTTTCAGAAAGAAGTCACCTACTTCTTTGCACTTGTGTATATCTTTTCTCCAAAATTTCAGGCATCTCTTTGAGTCTTTGTCAGTACTCTATCACAATAAGAAAAAAATACATAATTTGTAAAACCTATTGAAATTGTTGAAATCCTGATTGACAGGATGAAGTACCTAAGAACAACCAGTCTGAAAACTTGTTCTTATGTATTTCAACTTGTTCTTATGTGTAGGAGCTCACTGAGTGTATATGCATTTTGTATCATTAGCTAACAGAAGTAGTTTCTTTATCTGCTTAATATAATCGTGTAGTTCTGAGATAGTTAGAAGAACATGGAAATTATATTACTTTAGTATTTGCAGAAATTTGTTTTGCAGATGGGCTGTGGGTCAACTTGCAAATATTCCCCCAGAGATCAAGCACAAAGAACATCAACTCTGCTTTTTCAAATCCTTCAAGAATGGATTTGCTTAAAGCAGATGCAGCCTGAATTTCTTGGGATAGTTGTAATTTATTACTCTAAGTAAGAATTGTTTCCAGCATAACCTTTCTCTGAAAACAGATCATTTATGGTGGATTTTTGATTCTTTTTCTATTTTCTTTTTTGTTCTATCTAAATTATATCCAGATTAAAAATCCAGCCCATAAACTTGATACTAGCAAAGGTACTCTGCCTGCATTAGGATTGAAAGGTCAGGCCAAAATTCTGTTAGAAGGGGTTAGAGACAAATTCCTTAGCCATAGTGAGTAAGTACCTTTGGGAAAGTAAAAGATGGAAAATCATCATACGAATTCAAATATGTCTTCTTTCCTTTGCTGTGAGTAGAGAAGCTGAATAACAAATGACATCTTTTGCGTCAATAATAATGTAAATTTTTTTGTCACCGACTTTCTAATTGCCCACATACTACTTACAAATTTTAAAGTGTTATTTTAAAAGATGGAAAAACCATTACATGATATACTTGGTTTTTCTCAAATTATATAGCTGTTTGTCTCAATAAATGTTTCAGTGTTGACTTACCATGTTTGTAACTTATAGTTTCACAACAAATATATCCTTTCTCAGAAGATGGGATCCTTGATATGCATGTTCCAAGCGTTCTGACAACAGTGGACAGAGCCTCATTAACCATCCACAGCCCTAAACTGGTCCTATATGCAGGTTGCTCAGCAAAGTTACTGTTCCTTTTTGCGATATAAAGCTGACTGCAGCTGCAGCCTCCTGTAAATTCTGAACACCTGTAGCATGTTACTTAACTTAGAGTAGTATTATAATAGTTCTGCATCTCACATTTGCTACAAACCTGTCTTCTTTTATGTGCACGCATGTTAGTATACAAATTACCAAATTGGTGTCAGTTGTAAAGTAATGGCATTGGAGGCATCATAAATTACCGTGGTGATCCTCAGGAGAAGACACTGCTGTATACGAATGAGTGTTTTGCTCTCAGGGTAATGTATGTCTTCCTCTGGCCCAGTAGTCAGCATATTGCCCTGTGTTGATGGATATAGTCAGCTTGAAACTACACTACATTTCACTGCACAATGAACATGGCTGTCAACACCATATAAAGCAAAATCAATTTATCCTGTATGGTCAGTGCGTTTTAAATGAAATTAATGTACTGTGGACCTGGTAGCAAAATGGGAGTGTATTAGTTATGCATCCTCTCTCTTAGGACTTCTTTCATGTACTTCCTATATAGATTTTTTTTTTAACGGTATTCCTAACATATAGTGTTTTCGCACTAAATTAGGAAGCTTAGTTTTTGTACAATTAAAAACTTGGGAGTCAGCCATCAAAATCAGTTCCTCTGCAGTGGTTTACTCAGTGTAAAGAACTAATCCTATATTATTTGGCAAATAAATCTATGTCAGGAGAAGCAATAATTCACAAAAAGGAGGCCTAGTGCTGTGCTAATTTGTTGTCCAGCATCTTGCTTTTTCAAGGTCCTGAATTATATGAACAGTTTGATGAGGTCTAAGACTAAAGCTGTTGCTCTTCCAGTGTAAAGACCTTTTGCTTTTCTTTTATGCTAATGTCTAACCCTAAAAACATATGTTATCATCACAGTTGCAAAAGTTGTTCTGGTAAAAGCGTGCCTCATAGGCTCAGTTATCTGCTTCTCTTGTATTAACTAGTTCTACACCTCCTGCTCAGCTCTGTGAACTCTATAAACCCCCATGAAGCTTTGCTGCTTGTGATCAAGAAGCACGGCTGGATGCATTCAAAAGCTGATTAAGGTTATCAGTACAAGCTGAATTGATGGTAGGTAAGGAGAGGACTCTGGGGTACATTAAAGCACAGCAGTCATGGTGAAGCTGGAGTGCTTGTCTCCCATTCCAGAAGCCCCAAGCATGCTGTGTGAGTACCTGCTGAAAGCAGACAGTTTTATTACAACTATGTGATCGAATGCTCCAAGACACATCTAAAATTCAGCTAAAGCAGACGCGACTTTAAAGTGTTCAGCTCTAAATATAAACAGATCCATACAACTAGCAGCATGCACCTGGTGCACTATCTAGTTTTATGAAACGTTTGGCATGTGCTTCACTGCTCAAGCAGCAAAGTTGTTGTAAATTACTTGTGTGAACAGGTCTACATCAGTTTGGATTCTCAAGTGTAACTCTAATTTGAGTTTTGTTGAGCATTCAGAACAGGTATGCCATGTTCAAGTCCCAAATGGAAATTTTTGCGGATCTCCATACCTTAACTGGAGAAACATCAGTGCAATTTGCTTCTTCACTCAGAGAGGTTGATGGCTTCAGCCCGGCCCATTACACTGAACTCAGTGCGTATCCTCTCTCTCTCATAGATGTAGCAGCACAAAGAGAGAGAGAAAAAGAACGAGATTGAACTAAACACAGCACGGAAAGCGCTTGTGTAATCCAAGTAATAATGTTTTGCATCCATCTTGTTTCTTCCTGCCCTGACGCTCCAGGCAGTAAAGCAATGAATGGCTCTGCAGCTAAACTACAGCAGTATTATTGTTGGCCAACAGGAGGTGCCACTGTGGCTGAAGCACGAGTCTACCGGGATTCGCGGGGCCGAGCCAGTAGCGAACCGCACATCAAACGACCAATGAATGCTTTCATGGTTTGGGCAAAGGATGAGCGTCGAAAAATTCTCCAAGCCTTCCCCGACATGCACAACTCCAACATTAGTAAAATCCTAGGTAAGTGCGAGACGATGAGAAAATTATGTCTGCGACTGGACCGAAACCGAGGGCAGCTTAGAAAGGCTCTGCTTAGGCCGTGGCAATTGGCAGAGGTTGGTTATTTCTGGAGCTGTGGAAAGGTGAGGTTATTTATGTTGGTGACACAGGCTAGTTACTTCCTTCTTGGATAAGCAACTTCTCTAATTTTAGGACATATTTTGTTTGAGAGATGTTCACTGAAATTGGAATTACTGAACCTTATGCAGATGAAGACTCAGGGGTTGTTTTCATTGCCTTCCTTTTCCCTTTCTGTGCCTTCCCTAATGCTTTTATTTTTCAACAGCACAGTCACAACATGCTTTAAACACTTACCAGCATTCAAAAGGAATGTTTTGTGAAATCTGTTGCAAGAGCTTATCCTGAGAAAAGGTCTAATTGCAAGATCCCATTAGAAATCACCTAAACTACAAATCACCTGAATGCAAAATGGTACTTGCTAGAGGAAATACTGGAAAAAAAAAATCACAAAATCAAAATCAGAGATTTGTTCAGACAGTGCAGTGTCAAAGAAACCTAGCACAGTTCAAAAGACATGTACACGTATACCTTCTTGCATGCAAAATGATGTTTGATTTGAAATCTTACAACGTTCAAAAAGTTAAGGAGGCACCAGTATCATGCAATTAAAATATTGCTTAGTTAAAAGACATCATAGTTAATATTTAATTTGTATGGATTGGGACGATTAGGGAATATACCATGGATTATATTTTGCCACTGTGCAAATATATTGGCTCATTTTTGAGAAATTTTGATTTGCTTTTTAAGACCTCTCCAGAGAATTAGAAACATACGTGAGAATGAGTGGTGAAATGTTAAAACCTATATTTGCTTTCTCAGTCTTTGAAGTGAAAGACAGATTCCAAATGTAGCTCATAATAAATAAAAGTAAAAATCAAGTTTCCTCTGTAATCATTTTATTGTAAGCTTTGAGTTCAAATAAATTCTTACCAAACTTTGTTTGTAGCATGTTAGTTCAAACAGAGGCAAGAATACATAGAAATAAATGTTACTTTGTCCTAAAACTTCCAAAATCTTACTTAGCAGTTCTCATATTTTTGTCTACCTTATAAGTAAGCTATATGAATAGCCTTTCAGTTTTGTATAAAACCTGCACTGTTTCAGTGTTGGCAGCTGGAGGGAATCTATATTATTTGCGCGCATTCTGTGAAAAAACTATTAGGAGCATAGTAACTGTATTCATTAAAACGTAAACTTTCAGCATAAATATTTCAGAAGTGCCAGCAATTGAGTGTTTGTTAACCATGGAATTAACCTGTCAGTATCTGCTCTGCCACAAATAAGTCTATGTCCATATAATATCTCTGCAACTTTTCCAGGACAATGAGAAAAGAGACTGAAATATTAGAACTGACACGGAGTATTGCTGGCTACGGATAATATTTATACAACTTTTCCATTTGTTGATGTATGAAAAATCTTGGTAAAAGAATAGCTTCCACCCACGTTTACCACAGCTGTAATCATTTTATTCATCTAAAAGACACCAAAAACTATTTTCTGCGTTTCTTATCCCCTGGAAAAGAAAAAATCCGTTCTCTATTCAAGTGTTTAGTTAGCTCCTTATAAACAATAAAAGATATCTGAATACTTTTTGCTCTTCCTGTGTACACTGTGTTAATTTTTTAACTTTTTTATTGGTGCAGCTTTCAATGAGAGTTTACAGTACCTGAAGTGGTGTATATAATTACAATGTGCTTTCTGTTTTTTTTAATATAAATTTGTTAAATGTAACTTTCTCAGTGCAAATCTATGATTTTATTACATCTGGCTGGAAGATAATATCCATAAAAGAATTAAAAATATGGTAAGGTGCCAATATTATGCCAAGCTTATATCAGAATATTAGTAAATTTAAGACACCCTTACAACATGGGATTTTTCATGCTTTTCACAGAATCACAGAATGTTAGGGGTTGGAAGGGACCTTTGAAGATCATCTAGTCCAACCTTCATCCCAGCACACCTAACCACTACACCATAGCCTCAAGTGCTAGATCTACTTTTTTTTTAAACACCTCCAGGGTTGGTGACTCCACCACCTCCCTGGGCAGCCTGTTCCAGTGCCTCACCACTCGCTCAGTAAAGAACTTCCCCCGAATATCCAATCTAAACTTACCCTGACGCAACTTGAGGCCATTTCCCCTTGTCCTGTCATTAGCAATTAGAGAGAAGAGACCAGCACCAGCACCAGCCTCACTACAGTCTCCTTTTAGTAGTTGTTGAATCTAAAAGGTTTTGATTTTTTTCCTGCTATGTAGCAAGATATTAATATCTATTAGTAGGAGCGTATAAACCAAATACTCATAAATCTATCAAAGCAGCATGTGTCCCTATACAATATGTTAAGTGTCTAACAGTGACAGTATGGTTGAAGACCTAACTTAACCCTGATACTGTGCATGGTATTACAAAGGTATAGAATTATTCACAGATTAATGCTCACGTAAAAAATTATATAGTTTATTTTGCAGCGTGAGGCTGAGATTTTGAAAACTACTAAGTGCACCTGTTCAATAAAGATTTACGTATGTTTAGTCTGCAGCAATATGTGAAAGTCAAGGTTCTTTTGAGGTGTCTCAGGTTGTACATCCCAATAGAGGTGCTGACTGATGTAAATTCAAATCAGTTTATTTAATTACCTCATTTAAAATTTGTTTACTATGGCGAGAAGGCGTGTTAGAATATGTATGCGTAAAGCTAAACCCGCTCTACTTGAGTACTCAAAAATGTTTTGTCTTAATAGGATCTCGCTGGAAGTCCATGTCAAATCAAGAGAAGCAACCTTATTATGAAGAACAGGCACGACTAAGTAAAATCCACCTAGAAAAGTATCCTAATTACAAATACAAACCTCGACCAAAACGTACGTGCATTGTTGACGGAAAGAAATTGCGTATTGGTGAATACAAACAATTGATGAGGTCTCGAAGACAGGAGATGAGGCAGTTTTTTACCGTAGGGTGAGTACTATTGTTGTAATTGTTTTCAAAGACAGAGCATGCTGTTCAAAAACAAATAGACTTATCTGTTTAAGTCACTGACTAACGTCATTTAGAAGGTAAGAATTTGAACTTGTAAAACCTTTTAAAAAATTTAAGATACCATGCAATATGGAGCTATCAGCTTGACGCTGAATGCTGATTATGGAATTCTTTAAAGTCAAAAGAAGTTGTCTCCCATTAGGCTGAAAGGTTTGAATCATGTCTTTTGTGAGTTGTTAGTAAGATAATCCATTCTGTGTTAGTAACGGCTCCAGGATCATTTCCTAAATTAAGATGAGAACAAAGAGAAAAACACAAAAGATCATTCCCATGTGGAACAAGGAGTCAGAAGAGGGGGAGAAGGAAAAGGGACAGGAGAAACACCAGTTACACTAGGAACACACAAGAATGAATGATATCATAGCATGAGGCTATTAGGACTTTTGTTACACATAGAACCATGGAAAAAATAATTTACAAGAATAAACGTTTTAGAATGAGTCTTTCAAGTAGTGCATAGAGAGACTGGGCACATCTACAACTCAGAATATATTGCTCAAAAAGATTCTGTCACAGTTTTAAAAACACTGTGTGTTTTTTTATGGTTATTTCCTCTAGTCTTCAGCAAAGAAAGCAGCACTATGAAAAATCTACAGACTAAAGATAACAAAAGTCCAGTGAAACAACTGCACCGTTACTGATTTTTCTCTCCTGTGTTTTTTATGAATTAATCTGTGATGCTCAGTGCTCTAACACAATGTTTCTGGTGGTTTACAAAGAGCCTAAAAGCTATCTCCAGTGCCAGCCTTTCCAAATTCACAATGTTCTGCTTATTTCTCTAATCACAATAGTCTCCTTTTGTTGGGTACTTCACTACCAGATAATTGACCTTGACGTCGATTATGTGCCCTCATTTTTGGCTTGGGATGCAGAACTCCTGTTGCAGTCAATTATTTTTGTGGTACAGCCTGCAACAATGTGGGCTCTTTCTTCATTGAGTAAATAGAAGTGGGTTTGATATCTTGAAATAGCCTTCCAGTCTATAGTTTTGACATTGTTTTTCATTACTCACTCTAAGGGAAATTGTTTACTAACAGGTTTCCATCAAAATTGTACATAGAACTTTAAATAGAAATCTGGATTTATACAGCACATCACAAATTTTATTCAGATTGAGAGAATGAAACTCTAGCTTATGTCTTCCAAAGCAGATTGACAGACCAAATCACATCTAGACAAGAAATGCCAAAACAGCAGCCTGGACAATTTTAGAATTGTTCGCTAATTCAAAACAGTATTAAGCAGTAGCATTTTACACATTAGAAGTGGTGACTAAATATGGTGGATGGGTTTAAGAAACTTCTAAAATTGCCTACTTCAAGAGTGATATTGTGATTTTTTTTTTTGTTTAAACAAAAAGACAGAGAAAACTATTCAAAATTCAACTGTTGGTGCAGTCTAAATGTAACATCTTTCTCATATATTAAGCAGTATGATCACAAAGACCATGAGAATGTCGCCATTTTTTTTGTAAGGGTTGGTTCTAATTCATATTTATGCTAAGTCTACTTGACCGTGCTCTATCCACATTGAAGGAGTTTTAAAGTAAGAGTAATTTATCTTTGTGTACTCATATAATGACTCTACTGGAAGCAATGAGTTTTAGTGATGAGAAAGTGGGTATGAAGTCTAATGGATACATTCAATAAAGGTCAAATGACATCCATGTTGCAGTTCAGTATGAATATAAATTTTGATACTGAGGAAACAGAGGTTGTGATTTAAAAAAAATATTTCATGCATTTCTATGGTTTTCCACTGTTGCCCCCAAATCCCTTTCTTCCTAAAGAATAAAATTAAAACGGACCACTTGGAAAATACCAAGCACGAAAGGTGAAGAACACAGACTGTGGCAGCTTTTTCAAACAGAAACATAAAACGTGGCATAGGATAAACCTGCTCTGTGTACAACTAAAACATTACCCACTGCAAACACAGGAGTTTTACAGTGCTTGAACTTTTTAGATGCAAGAAGCTCATACTGCTTACTTCAATGAGCTGCACTCTCTGATAAACATCGGTAAGATGTGCAAGAGTTGTTTAGGGAATCTCAGTATATTAAGTAGCCAAGCCTTACAATAAAACAGAGAAACAGGCTAATGAATAACCAGATTCTGTTCTGATTTTTGAGGAATAGCTTTGAAAGATTTCTTGGAATAAATTGGGCATGAAATTCATGTTTTAAGGTAAATGTTTTCTATGTGATAGACCAGCACAAAAATTTGAAAGAACAGAGTGAAACTTAAAATGTGCGTAGGCCTTCTATTGCATCCCTACATGAATGAATTCTGCTCCAAATGAGGCAGATAATGTACAGAAATAATTCATGTCTAATGCAAAGTATATTAAAATTTTGCTGCTTTTAATCTAGTGGAAACTGAATCTGAAGCCAGCTATGTCTTAAAATAATTGAGTTATTTTTAATAACAATTATTAACGAGAAGTTGTGAATGATAACTTCAGCATAAGTTAATCCGTGGACAGACTTCAAGTGATTTACAATTTATCTGCAATAGCACTTTTTTTTGTAATGCGTAAATAAATGTGAACTAAAAAATGGATCATATCAAACCTGTAAATTCAGACGTTTTAAGTTAAAAGTCTGTCTCTTGTTGCCCTGTCTTACAAAAATAATTCAATTCTCGGCATTTTTACAGTCTAACACACTCTAAATACAAGTATAGGATACATACATTTCTCTGCCAAATGATGTAAGCCGTAACTTTTGTGTGTGTGTGTTTTACCAGTGTAAGATGTTTAGAATAAAGCCTTTATAGTGTTTATAACTACTGTACACACATAGTCTGAATGTTACTAAACTACGGTTTTGAATAAGGCTGTAATATTATACTCCTGTAGCTCGAACTTAAAGTAAGTACACAATGGGTGCTTTTGTGAGATTTACTGTTATTTCATTCCTTATGGGAATGCAAGTTTCAGGGGTGTGTAGCATATAAGCATTTTCCTTAATGCAATCGATTTTGCTTCAGTCATTTAAAGAGCTGTCAGAAAATAGTTGGGAAGGGATCAGAAAACAATGGTAATTTGCCAATTCAAATGTTTAGCTAGTTTTGCAAAAGTCAAAAGTGGAACATTTTCCAGGAAAATCCTAAGAATATTAATGCTACAGACTTGCGAGCAGGTCAATTGATTTAAGAATTTTCACGTTACCTCTTTTTTTATATTTACCTGTCTATCTTGGGCTAAATTTTTTGCCCCAGATGGGTCAGACGTGCTAGCACTGCTGGCAGAGCAAAGAGGCAAGAGTCCTGTAGTAACTGGCCCTCTAAGGATTTCTTTGGTAAAGAGAAGGTGGAGACAGGAGTAGCCATATGTCACCGTTCTTCACATATCTGAAGAGACAGGAGGATTAGTGTTGGTTTCTGGATATCTTATCTTATCTTATCTTTGCTTTAACCACATACAACTGAGCTGAAATGTAACTTCAAGATCCTGTGATAGGTAAAAACTCTAGCTAGATTTTTTTACGACATTAAATCCCATATGTTTAATCCTTATTAAACATGTGGAATTTAATGTCGTAAAAAAATACCATTAACATGAATGCCTTACAGAACTACAAATAAAAGAACACATAATGACCAGAGTCATAGGTTAGAAACTCCAACTCTTTCTTTCAGGGAGAGTGGTTAGAATTTAAATAAATGTTCCAGTGTCTTCCCCCTCCCCATCTTTTAAAATTCAGTTACTTAGAAAATGGTAACGCTCATCTCCAGTAACATATGCCATCCATATAGTTTGTGATATCTTAAAATAAGACTTTCTGGGGTATAATGAAGCAACCTGAGCAGAATTTATAGTGACAACCTGATCAGTTGTAAATAACAACAGGGTTCAAGGGAGAGGTGGGTGTCCAGTTACTGGGAGTGTGTGGGTACCCCTGTTTAAATACTAGCAAATTTTTGCTAGCAAGTGAGTAGCATTTTGAGACACTTCTCGTTTAGGGGGTACAGTTACTCATGTTTATAGTTCCATAGTGAGATATAGGTCATTTAAAGCTCACAGTTGTTACCCACCCAGCAGCAGGCATGCACACCAAGTCTGATTTTTGTTTAAAATGTAGAAAAGAACTGCATCAACGAATGACAAACTCAGTAAGCCTTTAACTTTCCTGTTACACCGATCAAGTTCTTTACCAGTTAGATTCATTCTATAGTTTGCTGTGCATTTGGTGCATTCTCAGGTAATTTGCATTCTCTGTAATTTCTGCTTCATTATGCTCCTTTTTCTCTTTATACTTTCCCTGTTCCCTTTATACTTGGAAATGGGTGGTACTTGGACAAATATACCCTGTCCTACTGAAATATGTATATGCGAAAGAGTTTTGCTGACTTGATAAGCATTTGAAAGAATATTTAAATTTCTTAACTTAGTCTATCCTTTAGGGCTAATCACTGACAACCATCTTTTATCAGGACAGCTCACATCCTTGTCCTAAACAGATATTTTTTTCCTTCTTGCTGCTTATAAAAAGACCATTTGCTTCTAAAAATGCCAACTTTTTGGTGGGGCGAGGTAGGGGTAGGTATTAGGGTTCTGACCCCTGGTATCATCTATAACACAAGAGCAGCTTGTACTCAATCATTCTCTAAGTATATTCTACAACTCTTAGTGAAAGAGTTGTAAAAACAACTTTTCTTAGAACAACTTTTGGCATTAATATTGTGGTGTTCTTTGATGAACAGTTGGGGATGCTTTGTTCTGTGAATTTATTTATACTAAGGAGTATCAGGAAAAGATTAGTACCAGCCGTTGTTAGATGGGCAGATTAGAGAGAATTAAGTGCGTATGGCCTGGTGACAACTGTGTAGAATTTTGCTGTGGCAATGTGTTGGTTTCTTTGACCTTTGCTTTGGGGAAACAGTCATTAATGTGAACATTTTCTGTATCTGAAAGTTTTGGAGGAGATACATGTGGGTTTTTAACAGTAATTGTTTATACTCCCAACAACATGGAATGCGAAACCAGAAATGTTCCCATGTGAGGTAGGTGTTCAATTTTATGGATAAAGTATTGAAAGATGTTTGCAGAAAATCATTTGCAAGCAAATACATTGGCTGAAAATTGTTTTCATAGAACATTTATCAGACCATTTAAAAAGTGAAAATTTAGTGAAAAATCCCTAGCTGTTTGTAAATCATCTGCAAATCATCATTTGCAAACAGGAGTACTATGACTGTGTCAAATGAATTACTGCAATGTTTTTGCTCACTGCTAGCCAGGTGTACCATACTTACACAACAAATGTTTGAATTTCTCAGGCCATGCAGAGGCTTTGAGCGTCGGGCTAGCAGTACGAGCAATGACGGTACTACATGCTATTTTAATATTATCTTACACAGAGTGTTCCTGATTTTACTGTCTGTATTGGTTCCCAAACTTGAAGGACTTTGGTTTCCCAGTAACTCTGTAGTGCAATATTTCTCAAAATTAGTTTGATCAATGAACAATAAACATGAAACTTGTAGGATCTTGTGAATAAGCTTTACATTGTTTTGAGTATTGATTTAGCCAGTGATTAAGGATTTGTGAGAGACTGATTTATGGAATGTCCTTTTGAATTTTAGCATAGAATGACACAGTAGGCAAGAAATACAGAATCATTAGACTGTTTAAAAACATCTGACATGCTAAAATTATATAATAGTTCTCTAATACTTGGTCAATGCTGCTTTAAAGAAGGTTGGGAATTCATTGAAATATATGATTCTTTAAAGAGATTATGCAAATAGACATGTGTGTTCAATAACTAGTTAATACTAAAGCAGCATCTTCCAGGGCACTTAGATATTTCTCGTACTGGAGTATATTCATACAGTGTTATGTCTAAATATGATAGAGATGCTCTTCCTTCAGATAAGTTACAGCCCTTCTTTTTTCCTTAGCTTTACTAAAGATAATGATCCAGAAATAATATGAGGATATTTTTATGAGTATTCTAATACAGAAAGTATGTTATTAGTTAATTTACCCAAATGTAAGAAGTAAATTTTAACTAATTTGTAGCCAATAAGGACTCGACCATGGAATGGGTTGAGCAACCTGACCTTTACTTAGCAAAGCATTTGAATATACATACATCACTGTAAGAAGAGACATTGCATCACTCAGTACAACTGTGTACATGCTTACAGTAAAGCTTATGCTGAATTTCTTGGCTGGCAGTGATATAAGCTTATTTCAGTTGAAGTGTGGTATTGCTTCAGTATGCTTAAAATTGCACATACATGAAAAAGGCAACATTACATAGTGCAGAGTTAGATATCAGAAGGTAAAATGTGTCAAAAGGAGAGGTAGTGCGCCCTTAATCAAGTCTTCCCATGTATATGTATTGTCAAAATAAATCAGATCTGACACTGGGTTCTCAGGAGGAAGTCTTAATTTCTGTAGACTGTCCATTGCCACAGTAAAAAGAACATCTGTTCTTTTATAAAAAAAATTACTTTGCTTCAAAAACTCAGTCTTACGCATTACATCCTGAGGAACAAAAGGCATTCTGATCATGGATTTAAATAAAAATCAGAAGCCAACAAGAAAATATCAGAAGTATTTGTAAGTGACGTAGGGGTCTACCTAACACTTAAATAGTAAGTTATATACTTAGAGTTAGGCAACGTTACTTAGTCACTTGTCTGCCTTTTTAGGTACTTACAGGTAATCTTAAGATCCCCTCTTTAACAGAAGCTCTTGTCAGGAGTCTGGAGGATTTATATTTTGGATACGGGATGTCTACAAGAGTAGTTAGACATCAGACAGGAGCCTGAAGCCTTTTGATTATCTCTGTGCAAGTTCTAGTTTGCAGTATGGTTTAAACAAACACATTAAATACATAAAAGAATCTCTGGTAGTTACTAAATAGTTCGCTCTCCAGTTGTCTTTGGGGAGAACTAAGATGAACCAATACCCTACAGGACCAGACTGTGGACCCCCGAGGAATGCATGCAGCCTTTCTAGGAAACCACCGCTTTCCTTTCATTGGGACTTGCAGGAGATCTTCCCTCCTCTGAGCACAGGGAATCACCTTCCCCTCTTGTTTCTCCTTCCAGACAACAGCCTCAAATTCCAATCACCACGGGAACGGGGGTTGTCTATCCTGGTGCTATTACCATGGCGACTACCACGCCATCACCTCAGATGACATCAGATTGCTCGAGCACCTCTGCGAGCCCGGAGCCCAGCATCCCCGTCATCCAGAGCACTTACGGAATGAAGACGGACAGCGGAAGCCTTGCTGGAAATGAAATGATAAATGGAGAGGATGAAATAGAAATGTACGAGGACTATGAGGATGATCCCAAATCAGACTATAGCAGTGAAAATGAAGCCCATGAGGCAGTCAGTGCCAACTGAGGAGTGTTCACAGAGTTAAAGTACTCAGACTCTTTTGGGTTTTTTTGGGGTTTTTTTTTGAGCAAAAGTTCTTAAAGAGCCTGCATGCATGTGTGGCTCCTACAGTTACATCAGCAGAATGGTCTTAAATGTTTCTTAACGTGTGAGACAGATTGTTTCCCTGATTTTTCATGAACTTGGGTTTTTTGTTTTGTTTTGTTTTTTAATTTAGATGAAGACATATATTAAATATCAGACATCAGGACTTGAAAACTTATATGAATCAATAGCTGTCTTACAAGTCTTACCTTTCGTCTTTTTCCGTTTGGATGCTGATAAAGGTTTAAGTTACTGTTTTAGATGGGGGTTATACATTCTCACTCAGGTATGCTGTGCCAGCCTACAGGTTGTGAATGTGTTTTTATTCTGGATTATTTTAGAAAACAAAACCCACAGATTTCGTATTGTGACAGAATAAGTCCACAAGTGTGCACATCTGTGCATCATAGCTCGTCTTTAAAAAATAGTCTCTGAATTCCATTTTTTTCCATATGTGTAGCTGAACTTCTGATGTGCCAAACTTTTCATAACTCTTGAATCTTAACATTTAAAAAACAAAAAGTCTTAAAGGAGACACTGTAAAGTCTTAGACAATCCTTTGGCATCTAAAAAAAAGTATATATAAAACTTAATTTTTTCCAGAATATGGTAAAGTACTCAGGAATCTGGAGACAGGATATTCTTAAGTAGTGAACATGGTTGCCATAGTGCATGTGCCCAATTGCTTTTGCCTCTTGATGTGCCATTAGTGTGAAATTTTAAGTAAGCACAAAAGAGCGATCACCAGCTATGGACAGGCCTGTCTTAGCAGTGTGAGGCCACCTCTGATTACATTCTCTACCCCTTTTCTTTTAACCCTTGCATTCAGTCTTAACACATTTTCTCTTAAATAATTTATTCATTCCAGAATGTCAAGGGTCCAAATACTTAATATTTATTTTTAAAAGTACTGTTGGTGGCATTACACTTAAAATTCCTTATTGATACTTTAAAGAGCCCTTCTTTCTCTTCCCCTAAATCACACAGGCATATGAAAATAAAAGTGCACCTGCTACTAAAATGAATATGACATTTATGAATGAGAAATTCAGTTATTCCTGTAACACTGTATGTTCCAGGAGCACTTGGAAACACTCTATGTAATGCAAAATAAAGTGAGTACTTTTATACATACAGTACAAAGATACCCCCCCCCAAAAAAAGTTTATATTTACAAACCTCTATAGTTAGCAAAGACAGATGTAAAATTCCAATTGCATGTAGGGTCCACCATGATGAATTTTTAGGGCCTGTGGAATCCTGCAGTGAATCATGTTCCTGGTGTCCCCTGAAGGAACTCTTTGCTATGTGAAGCATTTATGCAGTGATTTATGTGTGAGACTCGTAGTGGTGGAGGGAAGGCCACACAAATATCTGACTTGCAAAGCTGGGAAAATGGCGCATCAAAAAATTTATTGAATATTAGTCATGTGGGAATATGAGCCAGATCTTAGTAAGTGCTTGCCAAGTGCTTTGGGATCTTTGGATATAAGGTCCTATAGAAACTAAAAATTTTATTTGTACTACCACTAGAAACAGTGCAATCACTAGAGGAAATTCTGGGAAATATACAAGAGAGAAATATTCAAAGACTGCAAATTTATTAAATTGTCAGAGACAGAGAAGAAATCGCCTTTACTTTTTCCCCTCACACTCCACTCTGTTCACAAATACATCACTGTGTATCCATGCAGATCCAATGGGCCTGAGGAATACATGCGCTGAAGCTCCTCGACTCCCTCAGCTTTTACTTTGAATTGGATACGTTCAGCACATTGGTGATAAATTCAGACTCAGGCTGAGAGGTATGAGTGGGCCTAGAGCAGCTCCTCTTGGAGTCTGGGAATCTTCCCACAATGCTGAACAGGCTTTGTCTAGGCCCCGGACAATGAAAGACGAACAGCGTTAGTGCTGGCTGTCCTCCTGCTGTCGTCTGGTCCTGCAGAAATTCACGTGAGGTGCAGTGACGAGCTGCTGTATCGGGAGCAGTCGCTCCCCTCGTAGCCCCACTGACACCTATTGGAGCAGAGACAGCCACTGTCGCTACTGTAGGAATCACACTTAAACGTGCAAGAACAACCCCCAAGACAAAGAATATTGTTCAATTTACAGGACAATTTATAAAGATAATGGCATAGAAACACAATGGTCAAATTTCTCTGACCATTTTGTAATTTGGAACAAAATGCTATATTTTTAATATTTATTTAAATGTGTTCTGAGTCCATGTCTAATAAGCAATAAACTGGTCTAGCCAAGACTTTAAAGGCATATGCTGTGTCATTAGCTGGTGAGCGCCCTCTTTAAGCTGGCTAAGGTACTGATAGAAAGTGGTTTTTGTTCTTATAATTGCTTGGGAATTTGAACTGGTTTTAATACATTCAGCTCAGCTTGGGGGGAGGATACCATTATTTCCTAAAATAACGACTATTTATTAAGGTCTTACATAATTCTCCTGTCAGAAGTATCTCTCCCTCCCCCCATGTCACTTTCTTTCTCTTGCTCTTTTTTTCTGGTTTTGTTGCATAGGTAGAATGCTGTATTGCTAGCATTGTATTTTACGTAATTATTTTTTTTTTGCACAAAGGCAAACATTTAGATTAGTTGGTTAATTTTTTTAAATTTTATGACCATGCCAAAATAATATTCTGCAGGCTTGTGGAGAACAAAGGACTGTTCTTTAGGACTGAAACTTGATTTTGCTTGTAGTACAAAAAAACACACACTCACAGATGTTGTTTCGTAAGTGTTATAAGCACTGGATATAAATGGTATTTTTTATCACTTCTGACTAATGTGAAACTGTTGTACGAAAACTACATGAACAAAAGTCATCTGTTTTCGACTCGTGTGGGCCTGCCTCACAGTTGCCGGATTTGAGTCATTTTTATGTCTTGTTATTTCATTTATTTATGCAAAATACATGTATGTATGAACACTTTGTTTTAGCTCCAGCCCTGCCTCAGTGCTGATGCTCTGTATGTTGAAGCCACATTCGTGAAAATGACTGGCTGTTCAGGAATTGCCAGCTGGTAAAAATTGCATTTATTGGCTGGGGGAATGGGAGGAACATATTTGAATCTGAATTGTGCATATGAGCATTTTATTCTATTTATTAGCCGACATCGGCTCTAAAATGTCAGTAGAAATCAAGGAAGGACAATCATTATGATAAAAAACAACGTTTTTACTTTATTAATCGGAGCTCAAAACAAAGTTTTTGATGAATTTACCATCTCATTTTAGAATTTTTTTAAATTGTGTAAATATAACATAGGAAATAGAATTTTATTTTTTGTTCATGGATACTTAGTGAAGTATAAGTTATGTATTTACTTTTGTTCTATATCAGTGTATGTTGGTCCATATTAAATGCTGACAAGTCACTGTACCTCATGTAGATGCTGAATTTACACTCGCAGTGTGAGCGCAGTATTGTGGACCTGTAGCTGGGACAACAAGATGCCTCACTTGTGCTCTCACTGATTTGTAATAGCATATTCCACAAACACGGAATACTTTCTTCTTTTTTAGAATGTTGATACATTAAAAATACCAAATTTCTGATACATTTGATAGGACACACAGTCTTCTGAATCCAAGTGAAACTGATGAGATATTTTACTTCTTAACAAGAATGGCATTTGGAAGTCAAAAGCATATCCCAGGAAAGATTATCATGACTTAGATGGCCCCTGCGATGCAGTCAAGACTTTATCATATCAAACTTTTATTCTCTACATTCATTATATCACGTTATTACCATATTATAATACCAGGGGAAATTGTTCACACAATACACAGAGGACTTTTTTTAAGCATTATGTTTGAGCCCCCCGTAATAACTCGGACTGAAAAAAATAACAACTCCATTCAGGTAATGCACAAATAGAGTAATACTATTTTCTCTGAACAGACAGTTTATTTAATTAACAGATACAATATATTTTCTTTCTGGAAATGATAAAATACTTATTTTCAAGAGAAGAACACTCCTAAACCAGTCTGATACCAGCTAGAATAGTTCACATCATATTTCATAAAAATGGAAGAGAAAAGTCTTAAAGGAAACAGAACTGCTTTCCAGGGTTCAGGTTTACGTGGAGAAATGACTCTGCTGAAGTGGCCCAGTTCTCGTCTGCCTCTGTATTTGGGCATCACCAGTTAGCATGCGAAACTGCCTGCTGAGAATCCGTGGGACTGCAGTGTGCTCCTGAGTCAGGGTACTCGGGTGCAGCATGAGGCAGGGGGAGGGCAAAAGATGGGATTGCTCTGGGATGGGAATGCAAAACAAGCAGCAGCATTAATCACGATAAATACGACACCCCATGCAAAGCGTGCAGCAGTCAGCTGTGGGCAGGCCCTGCTTTGAGTCCAGACACAACCACCTCCCAATGCAATCCAGAACACAGTCCTCTCTCCGGGTTGGCTTTCTGGTTTTGTTCCTTGGTCATATCAAAGGCATGGCATTTCAAAATCATCTCCTAGCAAAACATACTACGAGATTAACACCCCCATCCTCCCCCAGCAAAACACTTACCTACCCGCTGAATATTAAGCATGTTGGTACTTCCACGGTGGTCATGAAGACCAGTAAAGCGTTGGCGTTAAATGGGGCAAACTTTGCTGAGCCGGGGCCACAGTGCGAACAACTGCACTGGAGATGCAGCCAGCAGAATGTATGATAAAGTTCTTCAAGGTTTTATGACAAGTTAATGAATGGGCTTGGACCCGTGGTGTTTTGCATGCTTTTTTGAGATTCAAGTTGGCACTTAAGCATGTTCTTTTAAAAGAATAATACTATATGGCCTCATTTGATTTTTTACGAAACACTTACTCTTTTTCCTTTAAACTAAACTTCCCCCAAACCTTTTTTTTTTTATAACCCATTAATATCTGTGATTTTTCTGAGATCAAGCTAC